CCCCCGTTCGTAAGCTGCTCCGGTGCTCCTGGTCTGCTGGAGACCGTCTCCAAGCGAAGCCACAGCAGCGGTGGGTTCCCGCGCTTCTGAGGCTTTGCCAGAGATGGTCTCCAGCAGACCAGGGGCACCAGGAGCAGCTTTTCTTGCCCCGGAGGTCGAGGTGGCGGATCGCTGCCTGCGAGCTCCGGGGCGAGAGAGCCCCGTTGGTAAGTGCGGATCTGACATAGGTCGGATACGCGTAACTCGGGGACTGCCTGAAGTTGCATACAATATGGCTCTCCAATTGAAACTACTAAAACTGTTTCAAGATTAAAAAAAACCAACAAAAAACCCACAAACTGTCACCAAGCTAGCAGTACTGCTGTACATCAGAGCTCTTCTCTACTACGCGGTGTCTCTAAGGCGTGTTTCTTCTGATTTTACAGTTGTGATTTAACTACAGAGTGGGAAAATGTGTTCACTTGTTCTTTCTGCTTTAGAAGTATTTTTGTCTCGGCACAGAATTTGCGAGATTTAGTGTAGTAGGCCTTCACCGGTCAAGAAAAATGTGATTTAATATTTTCTTTTTTCTTTTTCCCCCCCTCTCCTCAGGAACTGAGCCTGCGGAAAAAGGGTCTTGAATGTTTGGTTTCTATCTTAAAGTGCATGGTTGAATGGAGTAAAGACCTATATGTGAACCCTAATCATCAGGCCAGTCTTGGTGAGATTTCCTCCCTCCTCCTTCTCCACCTCCCCCCGCAGTAGAAAAATTCATTAAAATGTGGTTCTCAGTATATATCTCACTTTTTATGCAGTTAAACATACAGACCAAGAAATTCCAAATGGTATTCATAGTATACTTTGTTGCTGCTGTTATAATAGTAGCACTGTGTTGTGTGTGTTTCCATGGGAAACAAATAGCGGTATTTGCCTTAAAGAGCTTGCAATTTAGATAATAGATTTTACAAAACGCTGTGAATGAACAGAATGGGGAAATAGAGAGCACTGGTTACAGAAACAGGATTTTGTGGCTATTTGGATAAGCATACAGTCCTGTTTCTATAACCCATATCCTCTTCCTTCCTGTCTTCCATTCCGAACTACCTCTGACATGGCTGTAAACAATTTGAGCCATGGATTTTTTTTAAACAGCTGGCAAAACTTGTGGAAGCTAAGATGAAAAATACAGTGTACCTGGTAGACTAAGGAATATCGAAGCTCTATGAAAAGTAAAGTGTCTTATCTATGTTAATAAGGATCATTCACAGTGAACACGGGCAAAGATGCCATTTACGTACATTTCTTTTTCTGTTTAAAAGCTGAGGCTTTAAGAATTAAACAGGAGATTGAACAGGATAATTCATATGTGCACTAGTAGTGTCTGTAGGCCCCAGGTATTCCAATAGATTTTTTTTTTAAAGTCACGAGATGGCGCCTTTGTAGTGAGTAGTATGCTAGCTCTCATGCTGGTCACCTATGTGTGAAACTGGTACTATTGTAAGTAGCAATAGCTGTTCTTCTTCAGCCTGTACACACTTCTTTGCTAGGTGGAGGTGCAAAGAACTTTCCTCCACTCTTCTTCCTCACTGCTTGGGGAAAGTGGTGTGAGACATAAGAGGCTCCTAATGACTGTTTGGTGGCTCTTTGCTGGAGAAAGGGGGGAGGCCTAGTGGGAGGAAAATTGGATAGTTTAAGAGGATTTTTTTAAATGCTTCTGGGCACACATTGGTTTTTCTCACTATTCATTCTTATTCAGATACTTCTTATACTACTTCACCTACATGCAGGTCCAGATAGGTCTTCAGATCAGGAAATGGGTGAAGGTAAATGTTTGGAGACTGGAAGAAGACGGAGTAGTGTGAGTTCCTTGGATTCAACAGTGTCCTCAGGAATTGGAAGTGTTGGGACCCAGACTGCTGTCCCTGATGATCCTGAGCAGTTTGAAGTCATCAAGCAACAAAAAGAGATAATTGAACACGGGATAGAATTGTAAGTGAATTGGCAGGGAAATAAAAGTTCTTCAGTGCAAATGTCTGTTGGATGCATCTTCACTGTTTCTGCTGCAGTTGCTATGTATTATAGGAACTGTGTTTGTTCCATTTTTAGTTTAAAGGGATACTTGTTATGATAAAGGAACAGGGGCAACTAAACATTACACACCCTTCTGAAAACCTTTGATTACTCGTGTCACAAACTAAGTCATGGTGGTCTGACTGTGGCTCGGGGGGGGGGGTAAAAATTGCAGTGTTGATGTTTGGGCTCAGGCTAGAGTCCAGGTTTTGAGACTGACACCCGCCTCCCCCTCCCCACACACATGTGTCAGAGCCCAAGCTGTAACCTGAGCCCAAACATCTACACTATAGTTCTTAGCCCTGCAACTTGAGCCCTGCATTTCTTAGTCATTTAATCTGGGTTGTGAGACTTCACAGCAAAGCTTTTCATTGCACTGTAGTATCTCCAAAGTCTACTGTCACTAAAAGGATTTGGGGGTAAGAAATAATTGTGTTCACACTATGCTCTTTGACACAACTTTGTGGTGGCCTTCTTTTAGGCCAACTCAACCACAAATGGGGGGGGGGGGGAACCCAAGTGATCGTAATTTACAAATTGGTTTGGGACAGATGTAATATCGAAGACTGTTCTTGAATTTTAAAAAATGGTTAGACTTCAGGTTGGCAATGACCCTTTCAGATTGCTATATAGGTTGGACCTCCCTGGTCTGGCACCCTTGGGACCTAACTGGTCCCGAATCAGGCAGTTTGCCAGACCAGGGATGGTCTGTTCTGGCCGTAAGCTGTCAGTCTCCAGGGAGAGTGCAGAGGCTGACAGGCTCCTGGTCAGTCTACCCTCATGGCCACTGGGCTCTCAGCCAGCCCTCTGCTCGTAGCCCCCAAGGCTCTTTGTTATAGGGGCTTTCTGCTCCAGCAACATCCGTGGTCCTTCTGGATCATGGATGTTGCTGGACCAGAGAGTTTCAACCTGTATTTAAAAAAAAATTCCTTGCTTGTATTTCTAATAATACATGAAAACTGAATTCTGGAAGGACTTTTTGCCTTTCATGCCATTTCTTACACAGGTACAACCAAGAGAACAAAATGATTGGTCATATTTCATGTTTTATAGTCACTTTACAAAATGTAATACTGTATGTTGCTAAGTTTCAAATGCTGTAGAAGAGTGAATTTTTTTAGAAGAAACAAACATGCACACACAGCTTATTAGAATTTTTTACTTTATGAAAAAGCTTCTATTAATAGCATTTGGAAAATTCATGTTTTTTATTAAATCTAAATTGTTTTGACATTCTTTTTTTCTGAAATAGTGGTCTTTGAATATATCACATAAGCCACAGGATGAGATGTCTTGTGTCACCTAATTAATGCATTAACTTTTTTTCAAATGTTCAGACCTCCAACTTCTGATTAAGTACCTTCCTTTTGTTGTAAGGGCTGTGTAGATGCAAGTAAACTTTATGCCCCATGATATCTTAGGAAATTATATCCTGTGTGTAAACTATAGCTTTTCTGCCTCTTTAATTTTTTTATATTCTGTCTGTATGAATAGATTTAACAAAAAGCCAAAAAGAGGAATACAATATCTTCAAGAACAGGGAATGCTTGGCACTACAACAGAAGACATTGCACAGTTCCTGCACCAAGATGAACGTCTGTGTTCTGTAAGACTGAATGCTGCATAAGAAATTTGTTTTACAAAGCTATTCCTTCCTTTCTCCCCAGCAATGCCCAGCTGTTGCTGCTTTCATATTTCATTGCCCCCTTTACTCTCCCTTTCTTTTATGATTGGGGATCTAATAAAAGTTCCCCATGTTCTTTTCCCAGGTTAATCTCAAAACACCCACTTACCAACACACCCAATTTACATGCTCCCTCCAGGCCCTTTGCAGAACCTTTCTATTGGCAATGGAAGCTTGGGTAGGATTCCCTTCATGTCTACTTACGCTGCTTTTAGATCAGCCAAAAGAACAAGATGGAGTCTTACTGGTGCTAGTTATTGATGGCATTGACTTCCAAAGATGGTGCTAATGACACTTAATGGAGCATTGTGTCTGTAGAGCAGATGGAACATTCCGTATCCAACAGTGGCTTTGGTTGCCATGAGTAGTATACCAGCCTTATTATGAACTTGACTGCAGTGCCATTGTTATACCAAAAGTTCACTGAAATAAAAGATGGAGAAATTACAGTTATTTTGATGCATAATATTCATAACTATCTCTTTTGTGTTTAGACCCAAGTTGGAGAATTTCTAGGGGAGAGCAATAGGTTTAACAAGGAGGTGATGTATGCCTACGTAGACCAGCTTGATTTCTGTGGGAAAGACTTTGTCTGTGCTCTCCGTATTTTTCTGGAAGGCTTCCGGCTGCCAGGCGAAGCCCAGAAGATTGATAGATTAATGGAGAAGTTTGCAGCTAGATACATTGAATGCAACCAAGGGTAACTTGAAACATATTGGATAAACTTCGGAATAGTCACCTTGTTGGTAGCCTTAGGAAATAAAGTAAGGCTTGACTTGTGGGTGCACCTAAAGGGTGAGGCACCTTGCAGGGGTGTGTTAGGTGGCTGATTTTGCTGCTGCTGTCCTTGCTATCCCTGTTCTATTGCTAAATAGAAAACTTGTGGGATGTTCCTGTAGGCAGCTGCTAAATCATCATGAAGTCGTGGACAGTAGTTTACAGTATTGTCACTTCAAAGAGCGTTTTCTAGCAGATGCATGGGATCTAACCGAGCTAGAATTGCTGAATCTGTACTTAAAGCAGTTAAACAAAATCAGTTTTGTGATCTTTAATTGTTTGTTCGTGGAAGATTAAATATCTGGCTTGATGTGTAATGAGCATTTTCCCACTTGACTTCAGCCAGTAAAGAAATGTGCATGGGTGGGCTAATTTATATACTACTGTAGATTATTTTACTCTAAAACAAATTTGAAGATGCAATTCTTGCTTGAACATTTTCATGCTGTCCACTTAAGAGTCCAGCTTTAATTAATTTCCACTCTCTAAGTCAGTCTCGCATCACTGTTATAATAAAAATGAGTATATTTAGAAAGGAAACTTTGATGTGAGTGGATGATATAGTAGTGGATAGATCTTATTCTAATTACTTGTTGAAAATAGCAGAAGAACATACAAGGATTAGTAATAGCATTTAAAAAAAACCCTTTTCTGTAATCTTGTAACTATATGGCCTTGTCACAAATTCTTCCCATTCCCTTCACTGGCCTTGCTGTAGTTTTCAGAGCACAGTACAGTAATATGAAAATTAGTTCAGCTACTATTTAAACTTATTTGAATATAAGGCTCAAATGTGAGATTCCTTATCAATTTTCTTTGAGTCGGGTGTGTGTAATGCTTCTTAACTGCATCTCTTCCCTGCACGTGCAGAGATTGCTAGTGAGTAGAGGATCTAGAATTCTAAAACTTGTTTCTCTGTTTCAGGCAAACCCTATTTGCTAGTGCTGACACTGCCTATGTTTTGGCATATTCTATTATAATGCTGACTACAGACCTGCATAGTCCCCAGGTAGGGAAATAGCACTATAGAACAGTTACAAGTGCTTTTCTCTAGAACTTGTTCTCAAAATTTGACACCTGCATTTTATCCTTATCACTTCTTTTTGACAGGTAAAGAATAAAATGACAAAAGATCAATATATTAAAATGAATCGAGGCATCAATGACAGTAAAGACCTGCCAGAAGAGTATTTGTCCACTATCTATGAAGAAATAGAAGGGAAAAAAATTGCAATGAAAGAGACAAAAGAATATGCAATTACAACTAAATCTACTAAGCCAAGTAAGATTTTAATTAGAAACTCAATAATGGTCTGTGGTTTTTATAGTATCTCATATTCCAGGTTTAACATTGTAAAATGGATTAATTTAGTTTTGCCAGCACTTATGTGATGTACACCAAAGCTATCTGCCGACTCCTTTACCCATTTTTTAAATGTGGTTGCTGAAATGTGGCCACTTCCATCTAAGAGCATCTAGATATGAAGATTACTGTAGCTATTTGAAGCAGCAGGGGGACTTGAGAGGCAGAATGTAATATAATCTAATTTGGAACTTGGCCAGGAAAAATATCTGTCCGTCAACTCCACAGAGTATTATGTAACTATCTCATATTGTTCCATGCTTATCAATGGACTTCATAGTTGAGAGAGACTGATTGCTGTTCCTATGGTGTTTGTAATCTGAGCTTATAACACAAGGGTTAGCAGTTGACAAACATGATCATAAAGTCACTTGAAGTTAGCTGACCTTTCTGTACCTTGAATAGAAAAGGACTTCAGTGGTATGTCATAAGAATGGCCATACTGGGACAGACCAAAGGTTCATCTAACCCCATATCTTGTCCTTTGACAATTGCCAATGCCAGGTGTCCCAGAGGGAATGAACAGAACAGGTAATGTTGCATCCAAAAGATAGCATCTCTAGATGTACTCTTAATAGCATACTGGGAAATTGGTTCTCTTCCCTCAGTCAGCACTAAGTAGTAAATCATTGGTACAACTTCCTTCAGTGCTTACATGCTTTGAGGTGTTTCATTCAGATATTGACTCTCGTTAGCTTGAGAGTGAACTAGGTCACAGCCTAATGTGTTATGGCTACAGGAATAAAGGAACAGCACTGATTATTTTAATAGGCTCTGTCTACATTCCCACTTATGTTAGTATAACTTATGTACTCAAGGATATAGGGGTGAAAAAAATCCTCTGAGCAACACAGGTTATTCTGACAAGTGTTGGTATAAATTGCTTCTCCTGCTGACATAGCTACCAGCACTCATTGGGGGTGGATTCATTATGTTGACGAGAGAGCTCTTTCCCATTGGTGAGGAGCAGCTACATTAGAGATCTTACAGTGGCACTGCAGCATCAGTGCAGTGGTGCCACTGTAAGCTCTCTAGTGTAGACATAGCCATACAGTCTGTTATGCAATTGTGAGACTAGAAACTGAATTCTTCCGAAGCAGTTTGCACTAATGAAATGACTTATTGAAATTTGGGATGTTAAATCTCAGTTAATTGAATAGTCAATTAACCTCATGAATTCTTATTGGTTACTCAACTATTCTATAGTCCCTGGGGGTGGGGCTGACAGCCAGTGTGCTCTGGCTCCACTCCTGAGGAGCCCCCTTCCACTCCATGCTGCTGCCTCTATTCCAGAGGCAGCAGCACTGGGTGCCAGGTGGGAGTTGGTCCGTGAGGGGAGCCAGTTTAAAAAACAGCTCCCTTTGAGGACCAGCTGCCTGTTGCTCTGCACTGCTGCCTCTGCTACAGAGGCAGAAGCGCGGGGTGGCAGCAGCCCCTGTCCAGCGGGTGGGTCTGAGCTCCCGGACCCAGTGCGAGCTGGAACTGAGCTGAGATGTCTGCCTGCCCACCTGGCTGCTAATATGCTTTAAATGCAGAGCTGCAGCAGGGGTAGGTCCCAAACCCAGCGCAACCTGGGACTGAACCAGGCTGCTGTCGGGTGTGTGTGTGCATGTAGTCTATAGCATTAACAGAGACGCTTATCAGTTAATCAACTGTACTATTACATCCTTAACTGAAATATGTGTCTAGATTTTGGTTTTCTGTGAAGCAGGTCATGAAGGGTGTTCGACTGTTAAGGGACGAGTTGTATTACTACTGTACTAGGAATGTATGGGTTTTCTCACCCAAGGCTTATACTTTATATGAAAGACACAGTTCCATGACAGCATCTTGAATAAATTCAGATGCTTCTGAAGAAGCTTTCATTAATTGAAGTCTCTAGATAAAAATTAAACACATCTGTCTTCAGCATCTGACATCCAGAACTTAATGAATGGAGCCCCATAGCAAAAATGCATATAATGATGCAGGTTTTGTGGTGATCTTCATAGATGTAGCCAATGAGAAGCAGCGGCGGTTATTGTATAACTTGGAGATGGAACAAATGGCGAAAACAGCAAAAGCCCTTATGGAGGCAGTAAGCCATGCAAAGGCTCCTTTCACTAGCGCCACTCACCTGGATCACGTCAGACCCATGTTCAAAGTGAGTGCATGGATTTCTATCATGTACCTTTGCTAGGGCATGTAATCCTCTTTAATCCATAATGTGCTAGGTTGAGAGTGATGAGAACTGAGAGAGAGAGCAGCAGTGCATGATGTGGCTAGAAGTGTTGCCTTCTGCTATGAGTGTGACTGGCTCAGGAATTTGAAGAGAAAAGCTGAAAGTATTGTGGGGAGGAAAACGGTGTGTGTGTGTGTGTGTGTGTGTGTGTGTTGAAAGGGGACATCAGTATATTCTAGATGTTGCAGAAAGCTTGTGACTGGTGTTTTGGCACTTCATTATATGACTGGGAGGATACAGTGTTACCATGGGCAGTGTCTGCATTAGCTGCTGCCTTAGGGAGAATCATGATTTGATTGTTATGAAACTAAACTTACAAAGTTTTCCTTTTTGCTAGCTTGTATGGACTCCATTATTGGCAGCTTACAGTGTTGGCCTTCAGAACTGCGATGACACTGAAGTTGCATCTCTGTGTTTGGAAGGAATACGATGTGCAATCCGAATAGCCTGCATCTTTGGAATGCAGGTTTGTCTGTTAGCCATACTATGTCTCGCTCACCGGAGGTCATCGTGGACACTGGCATTTGCAATAATAAAACTATAAAAATGTTAGCTTCCTTCAGCCATGAGTTTGTAACTGAGCTATCTGGTCATTTGAAGCAAGTGAAAATAACTTGCTCTGCTAATCAACACATATAAGGCTCTTTGCAAAACTGTTTTTTGGTTTTAATCTGTCCAAAGCTCTTGATCATAAATAAAGATAATAGTTTTTTATTCTTAATCTTCAAATGCCTGCAACTTCTGGGGCTCCCTTAAAGATTATTTCCTAGTTTCACCAGATCTTCTGTAATGTATTGACTGGGAAGGATCTTACTGTAATTACCATTGCAAAGCCATACTTGGAAGGAAAGTTACCCAAACTTGATGAAGTTGTGAACCTTTTAGGCAGAGGGTACTTTTTCTTTAGCATAGTGATAGAAATGTAGCCGTGTTAGTCTGGTGTAGCTGAAACAAAATACAGGACTATGTAACACTTTAAAGACTAACAAGATGGTTTAGTTCACCTAATAAACCATCTTGTTAGTCTTTAAAGTGCTACATAGTCCTGTATTTTTTTCTTTAGCAGACATCTCAGTTTGTCTGGTTTTATTTCTGCTCTCATTCTAGCTTGAACGAGATGCCTATGTGCAAGCCCTTGCTCGATTCTCACTGTTGACTGCTAGCTCCAGCATCACAGAAATGAAACAGAAGAACATAGATACTATCAAGACACTTATTACAGTGGCCCATACAGATGGCAACTATCTTGGGAATTCCTGGCATGAGGTAAAAACCTAAATAGTAAATGGCTTCAATGTGCACTCGCAGCTTGCAAAACTTTGTTCACTTAGCACTGCTTACTCTTTGCACAGCCCACAGGATTTGAAACTCCAGCACCATAGAACTCTGCTGCAGTGAAAGGATTTATTCCACAAACTGTACACTGGCATCTCATTTTCACTGTTTAATAAAACTCATTCTAGCCTTTATAACTGTGAAGAGACTTAAACATGAACGGTGTAACCAGCTTTTGCAGACAGCATGAAATACTGGTCACTTGTGAGTGTTAACTTTGAAACCTAATGATGTTTCAAAAGTCAACTGTGCCATTCACTTTCTCAGAAAAATATATGCTTAGTCCATACCTCAAACCTTTCCTTCCAGAAATCTCTACAGTGTGGTTTTTGTCAGTATGTATATTTTTCATATATTGAAAATGGAAATATGAGGGAAGAGTAAAACTGAATTGAATCTGAAAACATACAAAGATTACAGTGACTAAGAGAATGTGAAAATAAAATCAAAAGTTGGGATTTTGTTGGTTTTTTTACTCATCTGGACATTTCTGCACAATTCAGTGGGCATTGCTGCAGAATTTAGGTTCAGTTCACAATAAAGCATACAGGATCTTGACTAGTTGTACATTTACTCTCTCCAGGGCTCCCCTTTGGTTTTCCTTTAAAACTTGTAGAAAAATTAGTTTTAAGCACCATAAATCTGCCACTGGATGCCATTTCCTCTTAGTCTATTTTTTTCTCCAGAAATACTAAATATTTCTTTCAACATTCTTTCTAAGGGATCCGCTAAAGGCATAAAATTCACATAATGTTGTGAGTGTTGCTGCTGTAATGTATTAGTATCCTCTCACACCCCACTGCCCACACAGATTGCTGCAGTCTGTTCCAAAGATCCTGCTTTTTCTCAGCTAGAAGGAAGAAAATTTTAGTGGCAGTGACTGCTAAGATGCAGACTTTGAGAAATTCAGTTCTTCACAAACTCCCCCTTCTTCTCCTACCCCACAATAAATTAATCAGTGTGTCTGCTACAGTCTAGGAAGGAAGGAGTCATGGCTGTCTTCATTTAATTAGGAGGTATTTGGAAATTAGAGACATTATGTGAATTAGAAATGAGTAGAGACTGTATAAATATATAGGTAAACGGATATGAGTTCAGCACTGTCCTCTGCTGGAAAGGATGTCCGTCTAATTGAAGATACTATAGATACTCTTTTATTGGCTGAACTAAGGGTATGTCTACACTAGCCCCCTAGATCAATCTAGGGAGGCTAATGAGACCGACCGAAACTGCAAATGAAGCGCGGGATTTAAATACCCCACGCTTGATTTGCCTGTTCACGGTCGGTCGCCATTTTAGAAATTGACTAGCCCAAAGTAACTGCCCGCGTCTACACGCGGCAGTGAAAAGGGATTCCGAAATAAAGCCCCACCTCAAATTAGCTGGTAAACCTCATTGCAGGAGGAATACTTGCTAATTTGAATTAGGGCTTTATTTCGGAATCCCTTTTCACTGCCGCGTGTAGACGCGGGCAGTTACTTTGGGCTAGTCAATTTCTAAAATGGCGACCGACCGTGAACAGGCAAATCAAGCGTGGGGTATTTAAATCCTGCGCTTCATTTACAATTTCGGTCGCCCTCATTATCCTCCCTAGATCGATCTAGGGAGCCAGTGTAGACATACCCTAACAGAATAGTTTCTCTTACTCCTTTAGAATAAGGCCTGTTTTATGAGGAGAAGGCCATAATTTTTGCCTTGATGGCATATGCCAGCATCTGGTATCAGTGTAAATGATTTTTACAACGGCTTCCACTTTGAGTAACACCAACTTGGCATTTAGATATTGAGTCTAGCCGCTTGTTCGTGTTCATGAGCTTATCTAATAAAGTTGGCATCAGAGGGGAGATAGGCTTCCTAGTGCATGGGTGGCTTTGAGAGACTGAGCTAGAACTGAAGTACAGTAATTCCTCATTTAACGCTACAGATAAGTTTCAGAAAATGATCGTATTAAGTGAAAACATGTTATGCGGGGTCAATTTCCCATTGAAAATAATGGAAAAGGTGAGGGTTGCATTTCAAGCGGTGGTGTCTGTTGGAACTGGGACATAAGGTTGGGGGAGAAAGGGGACTGGGTTACAGCAGGGAGGGGAGGTGTTTGGCTTTAGGGAAGGGAAGGAGAGAGGAAGGGGATTGGGTTGGGAGTATGCCCCTGTGATGTGTACGCCAGGACCCACACTGCGTCCAGTGAGGGGGGGTCACCAGGGAATGGCGCAGCGAGCGATGAACCCTCCAATGCTTTGCACGGAGGTGGAAGAAGCCCCGCACAGCTGCTGGCAATGGGCCGGTTGGGGAAATTGTGTTGTTCCGGGACGGTTGCGTAATTCAAAAAACGTTCCCTAAAAACAAAATTGTGCTATCTCAAAAATGTGTTAAGCGGACATGTGTTAAATGAGGAATTACTGTAAAAGACACCACTTGTTAAACTAAATTGAAAGCATGATCCTACTGTTAACTTGTGGTTGTTTTCAAAATATATTATGGTAATATCATTATAGCTATTATTTGTAGTAATGGAAGCTCACTTATTTATCTGTACGGGGAATAGAAACTATTGGCGAATAAGCCCCATAATATACAGGTTCTTAAACTGCTCCTCTTCATCTCCTGCATCCCGTGGAGGAAACTTGGACTAGTGACAAGAGAATTTTTAAGAGTTGGACTTGAGCTGCCACTGATTCACTGTCCTGAGACAAGTTGCTTTGCAGCGCAGTTGTACGTTAGCAATAATATTTGCCTACATTACAGAAGTGTTGAGATTTTAATGCTGGCAAAATTGTTTGTGAACCTGTAAAGTATCATAAGGTAAAACGTGGTTGTGGTCATTTACATTATTGAAATGTGCCTTTTATTATTAGATCTTGAAATGCATCAGCCAGTTGGAACTAGCACAGCTTATAGGGACTGGGGTTAAAACTCGATATTTATCTGGCTCTGGGCGTGAAAGGGAAGGCAGCATTAAAAGCTATACCTCTGGAGGAGAAGAATTCATGGGCCTGGGATTAGGTAAGATTAATTGTTCTGTCACTTCACGGGCCTGCATTTACAAGTTAATTAAATCTAAAGATTTGTCACTGAGGTAACGAATAATTAATTCCTCTCACGATGCTGGGTCGTATATCTACCTGCTTTTATTTTAACTATGTGGAGACTAGTGTCACTACGTAATTAATGAAAATGGCCATTACTTCAACTAGCTTGGTAATGATTAAACATCTGAATTCATTCCAGCTTCTATAAATCAGGTTACATGAAATTACTTCATAGACTATCCAGACTAACTGCCTTGTATGAACTTGAGTGTGGTGGTAATTTTGTTACATCAGGTTTAGGATGGCCATAGTCTTGTTACAGACATAAAAGTAGAGACTTTAATTACATTTTTAAATAAAAACATTAAAATTACTGATATCTCTCTGAATTCTAAATTCCTGATACTAACAATTTTTACATGAAATGTGACGATAGTTGGTTTTCAAAGTTAGATATTTCACATTAGTGTATGTTAGGGGTGCAATACTGTAGCTGATTAATAGATTAACCGATAAGCAAAAGCATTATAGGTTAATGCTATAGACTACATGCATTTCCCCTCCTCTTCCATCCCCCCCCTTGCCAGTACATTTTTTAGCAGACTGGCCAGCAGCCAGGCTCTGTCCTGGTTTGCACCTGGTCTGGGACCTACCCTTGCTGCAGCTCTGCATTTAAAGTGTATTAGGAGCTAGGCAAGCAGGCAACCTGACTCAGTTCCAACTTGTGCCGGGTCTGGGAGCTCAGGCTTTAGGCATAAATGTCATTCGAGTAATGCATCAGTGATTACAAAAGATGTAAAGTTAAAGATGATTTGTATCATTAGTGTAATCCTGACAGCCTGGTTTTCTTATACTGTAATGGATACTAGTCACAAAAATTAAGGGTGCAAAATTTGTATTAATTTAAAACCTCTCTATACCCTCCCCCACAAAATCTTCACATGCTCATAGTTTTTTGCTGAAATAATTTCTGTTTGAGATCACTGCTTTGAGTAGGCCTTCAGTGATCTGGTGCATAATTTCTGACCTGTAGCATCTGTCTTATTATATAAATTGTAAGTTCCTGGGGGGCAGGAGCCATCTGACTCCTTGCTCTGTATAAAATTGAACATAAAGTTGGTATTTAACTATGAATATTTCATCAGATTAAACATTTGGTTCTGACTGTTTGTTTTATTACAGGTAACTTGGTTGGTGGTGGAGCTGATAAAAGACACATGGCCAGCATTCAGGAGTCTGTGGGTGAGACCAGCTCACAAAGTGTGGTGGTGGCAGTGGACAGGTACTGCACTGCTTTCTTTGTAACAACTTGCAAATCAAGAGTTACACAAATTGTCCTAATTTCCCCCTGCAGAATAAATCTTAACTTAAAACCAGTTGAAATGAAACAGGTTTATGTTCATTCTGAATGATACCAAATCTCCTGGGCTTGATCATGGTAAAATATTCTGGTGTTTTTCTCTTCAGTCCTGCAGTACTAAGAGGAAAAGACTGTTTCAGTAAACTATCTGGTGTTACTATTGATAGCTGAATACTTGGAAAAATAAACTTAGGCTAGTGTAGGTGGGCTTGGAGGCTGGTAAGCAGAAAGAAAGTATTCTTAAAACTTTTTGCCTGGAAATACTTTAGTTCAGTGATTCCCAACCTTTTCCACTGTGGGGAGGGATAGCTCAGTGGTTTGAGCATTGGCCTGCTAAACCCAGGGTTGTGAGTTCAATCCTTGCGCCATTTAGCGATTTGGGGCAAAAATTCATCAGGGATGGTACTTGGTCCTGCTGTGAAGGCAGCGGACTGGACTCAATGACCTTGCAAGGTCTCTTCCAGTTCTAGGAGATAGGCAATCTGCAATATAAAATAAAATAAAAAATGGTGGGCCCTATCCTTATTTTTAAACTTTCCATGACCCCCTGCAGTACTGTCATGGACCACTAGGGGGTCTGCAGATCACAGGTTGGGAACTGCTGCTTTAGTTTGTCCTTTATTTTTTTTAAATATAACTTAAATTTTATCATATCTTGATTTGTTCTACAGAATATTTACTGGATCAACACGATTGGATGGAAATGCAATAGGTACGTATGCTGAACATACAAGGAAATGAACTATGTTGCAGTAGAACACCCCCAAACTCATGGTTTGTAATATCTGTTTAATGTTCAGTTGATTTTGTCCGATGGCTGTGTGCTGTTTCCATGGATGAGTTGGCTTCCCCTCACCATCCTCGCATGTTCAGCCTACAGAAGATAGTAGAAATCTCGTATTACAATATGAATCGAATTAGACTGCAGTGGTCAAGGATATGGCAAGTGATTGGAGATCATTTCAATAAGGTAATTCAAAACATAAAGGTTACAGACCATGCCTTTGCAGTAATATTTTTGAATCTAGTTGAAATCCATGCTCATCAGCTTTCCCTTAAGACAGGGGTGGGGAACCTCTGGCCTGTGGTCCGCATCTGGTCCTCATCAAACAATTTAATTTGCCCCTTGGAGGGGCGGGGGGTGTCCAGCAGCTGTGAAACACCTCAGGGAGGGCCTGGGGGCTGCTTTAAAAACTTCCCCCGGTCTCCCTTGCAGTGTGGCTGGATACTTCCAGTTCCTCTCCTGCATGTGGGGGAAGCGCACGCAGGAAATCTGGAGGGAGGGAGAAGCTGCATGTAGTGGCGCCCTTTAGCATTTCAGGAGGTGGCTGCAAAAAAGTCAGGAGCTGCTTTCTAGCCTCTGGCAGCTGCAGAGACTGACAGCAAAACTGCTTTTGCTGGTAAGGTGGTGTGCAGGACCACAAGAGAGGAGAGGGGGAAGGGTGGAATCAGTTTCCAGAATGGGAGTGAAGGGAAGCACCTGAGCCCCTTCTCTGCATGGAGCACCTTTCAGGAGGAAAGGGAGGCCACAGTGAGGCCAGCTTCTTTCCCCCCATCCCCTTTCCTGCATAGGCTGGCTGCAGTAGGGAACAGCATCTGGCAGACTGGAGCCATACGCTGCCAGCAATTTCTCCTTAACAGTTAAGGAGGCATGCCGGACCTGAGGGAGAGGGAATCCCTTGCAGGAGTGGGAGGGCACGGAACCCCTCCCTCCAGTCCCTTCCCTTTAAAAAACAAATTCAGTCATCACATTAAAATTCAAAATAAAAAGATCATCATACCACAACAGTTTTTGTGCATGCGGTGTTTTTTGGGCTGCCCTGATTGATCTCTGCGAGTTAGTGGCACCTGACCCAAAAAAGATATACTAATGGAATGTCTTGGAGTGTTTTCCTGCTTCAGAGCATCATAAGTTTTGACGTGTTAATCAATATGGATTTAGGTGAGGATACTACATTCTTTACATTTGGGTTGGAGAAGTTCTAAGTCTTTCATATGTGCTTGGCTCTTAATAGAATCTATAGTGTTGGGTCTATAGTATTAGTATTATTTTAAGGAGAAGGGGAAAAGTGTCCTCCTTTTTTGGAAATCTTATGTCCTCTCTTTTCATACTTTGTTGCCTCTTTTATTAAGAACATCAGGACATGATTTCTGTTGCTTTCCCCTTCTTTTCTCAACTATTTGGGCATTTTCCTTTCTGAACCAGTAATACCTGGTTAGGTTTTATTTTACAAAATGTGTGTTGACTGAGGGACAGCAACTGTGTGTGTTCCTTATGCTGGTAAGGTGGTGTGCGGACCATAAGAGAGGAGAGGGGAAGGGGTGGAATCAGTTTCCAGAATGGGAGCGAAGGGTGTTTGGCATGTTTGGATGATTAATTTATTTTTCTCTTGGTAGTCTCTACTGCTAATCTGCTTTTGTACATACTCAAACCAAGCAAGAAAAATGCCCATCTGATTCTCTTCTTTTAAAAATAAAATCCTGAATTCTCAGTTTGTGTCACTAGTACAGGACTTTGTTGGTGTAGTTTGAACATGTGCAAAAGCACATATGTCAACTTCAGGAAAAACATGGTCTAGCCAGAATATCTAGACTATGGACATTGATGTGCAGCAAAAATACCTGGGTAGTTCTAAATGAATCTTCAGCTTAATAAGATTCCTCTGTTCACAATTCATTTGAATGTTTTTAGGCCCCTAAATCCTTGCCAGATTAGGCAACTAAATCATAGTTATTTTCTTCTACTCCCCATAAGATATACTGAATACACATAGCTCCTGTTGAAGTCCATGGCTGTGAGTGGTCAGGATCTCTAGAAAATAATTTGCTCATTATGACCTCTGTTCCTAACTTTAGGCATATAAGCAAAATGTTCATAGCAAGAACAAACCTCAGGCTTGAAGTGTTACCTTATAAAAACTAGAAAAATAGTCTACAGGGTAACCCTGAGTGTTTGCAAACTCATATGGGCTGACTCTCTAACATAAAATTATTTTACATGCCCTAACCTTGATAGTATGGTGGTGTATTCCTTCCCTCTAGTAAACTAATTTCTGGGTTTGTTAGATGGCCTCTATATGTTTGTAAAAAAACATTTAGGTATGTAAAGGTTGAGCCTTGGAAATTAAACTCCCATGGTGGGTTTGTGTGGTAAAGTTCACATTAACTTTTTAAATGTACATAGACACACTTTTTCCTTCTCTGTTATTAGGTTGGATGTAATCCTAATGAAGATGTGGCCATCTTTGCAGTTGATTCATTAAGGCAGCTGTCAATGAAGTTTCTTGAGAAGGGAGAATTAGCCAATTTCCGTTTCCAGAAAGACTTTTTAAGGCCCTTTGAACACATTATGAAGAAAAACAGGTGTGCGTGCACTGAAACTTCTGTCTTGCTTGGTTTTTATGCAGCAACTTACAATATGACCAGGTTTCCTGTGCCCATGTAGGTGGGATGCCCTTTGGTGTAGGCAATGGCAAATAACATGGTGGTTAATTTGTTTTTAAGATCTCCTACCATTCGTGACATGGTAATACGCTGTATTGCTCAGATGGTGAACTCCCAGGCTGGTAACATTCGTTCAGGCTGGAAGAATATCTTTGCAGTATTTCACCAAGCAGCTTCAGACCACGATGGGAATATTGTGGAGTTGGCTTTCCAAACAACGGGACATATAGTTAGTAAGTATTCATTGGAAGAGGGAACAAGTTAACTAACATACTCCATTTCTGTGGCTTGTGCTAGAATGGAGGTCCTGTCTACATAATAAACTCTGTTGTGGTGGAAGAGGTTGTGTTTTTAAATGCCCAAACTGCTCAGAGTATGTAGCTGAGTCTTGCCTGCTGTCTTAGCTCTGACAGTTCTGTGTCATGAAAGACCAAATTGTTGTACAGTGTCTGGTAGTTTATGGCATGATCTGTAAGTATCATACTATATAATCTGAATCCAGTTTGCTATATGAAGTAATTTTAATAGCATATGGTCTCTCAACTCTGTATACTGCATCTGGGAACCTAGATTCATTCTTCAACCATACAGATTTAGTTAGGTACTGTGTCTCTGTTATATCGCTTTCTGCAAAGGCAATGATGGATGCCTTAGAAATGCCATGGATGGCTAGAAGAAAACATTTTGGTCCAAATGCAAGCTATTCACCAGCCCTTTATCATGATTAAGGCAGCTTAAGACACTCCCCGTTCTTCCTCTGACTTTTCCTGGGCGGGGAATCCTCGAACACCTACAAATGACTTGATTTCAGGGTTGGACTAGATGTTCCATAGTATTTTTCTCCCTCTTTCCCCCTCCAAAGTCAAGTTACATTGTTCATACAATGCAACCTGGCTATGAACACAGTGCTTTATCCAGTCTGACTTTTAAACAGCTTGAGCTGGCGCTGTCTCTGTAACTCATGAAGTATGATATTTCACTTGCTGAGTTGGCTCTGAAAGGCTACTTGGGAAAAGTGGAGTCCTAATTAAAAAGGAGAGACACGGTGTACTCCATCTTTTTAAATGAACAAAATTTATGGATTCTTCTGCATATTAATAGCAATATATACCCTGAAACATATTATTAAATTTTCTCTGTACACTTTTTTGTAAAAGCTGTTCTGTTTTCTTGCTGTGTAAACGCTTTTACAGCAAGGGAGAAATTGACTATCCTAGGTAAAAAGTGAAACGAAATACATGTCTACACAACAGTCTTAAATTGACCTAAATTAGGTTTATATACAACCAGTGTAGTAACTTATTATGGTAGTTGATTTCCCCACTATCCTCCTCCTGTTGGCAGTTGGGCTTGGAGGGAACAGTCATTGATACTGCATTGCCCTAACTACCCTGATGTAAGCCCTATGCCTCTAGTGGAGGTAGAGTTATGTCAGGTGTGGTAGGGCACTTACATCAGTGGGAACAAGGCTCTAATTTGTACATTAACATAGTCAGGTTGACAAAAGCTGCCTTATGTTCTTATGTTGACCTAAAAGTGTGGTGTAGACTACAGCCTTTGTATTGTTTATGTTGAAAAGCATTTTGTCTACAAACTAATCAAATAACTTTTTTTTGCCAATTTAAATTGATTATGATTGCAACCAAGTTCAAAACTTTAAGACAAATCTGATTTTTATACTGTATCAGTGCTCAGCTTTTGAGCACTAGTCAGTTTTTCTTACGACAAAATCTCAGAGGAGACTTTAGATTATTTGACCTAAACAGGAAAGTTTGTGAATCTTGTATACGAATAGAAGGTTTGAAATATAACTATACATCTGAAGAGCTTTAACAAGAGTATCTGTGGCTTAAAATAAACAGTTTGAACATTTTAATGAGGCTGTGAAATAGTAGTAATCATAAAGGTTTTTTAATATTAATACTATTTACCTGTTTTTGTGTGTGTGTGTGTGTGTGTGTGTGTGTGTGTGTGTGTGTGTGTGTGTACTAAGAAATTGTGATGTGTTGATTCTGTAATACTGTTCCATGTTTAATATTGATAAAATCAAATGGCCAAGTCCTCAGCTAATATAAATTGGTATAGTTTCATTGACTTCGTGGAGTATCTGGTTCAAAAAATCTGATATGGTATTAGTATGTTTAAGACATTTCTCTTTGTTTTCCCAGCCAATATTTTTCAACAGCATTTTCCAGCAGCAATTGATTCATTCCAGGATGCTGTAAAATGTTTATCTGAATTTGCCTGTAATGCAGCATTTCCAGACACCAGCATGGAAGCAATCAGACTTATCCGTTATTGTGCTAAATATGTTTCAGAAAGACCACAGGTATTTTCTGTTCTTGAAATAACTAATAGTTTAAAACTATGATTACTACTGTAACTAAGAATCTGCTCTGAAATGTAGACTTTAGGCTCTTAGGAATGAAGATCATGCTAAAATATTTACACCAAATTAGACACCTGTTCAGGCCTATGAGGACACATAGCATCCTCCGTAGAAAACTGAGAAAACCTTGTCTCAATCGGGTGTGGAAATAGCAGGAGAAAACTGGCGATTGTTGGCCGTTGTAGGTTTTGTTAAAAAAAAAAAAAAAGCTATGAGTCTTTGATTTAACTCTAATGACTCTTGCAATCTGTGATTTGCATGTCACTTCCTATCCCGTTAGAACTTAATACCAAATCCTTAAGGTATAAATAGCAGTTCTCTTTAAAAGAATCTAGGTCGAAGTTATCTAATTAATATTGTTGGTTAAGTTTGCAAGATTTTCAGGCTCTTCAGTTCTTGCATGTACAAACACAGCATTGATTTGTGAAGTGCTGCATCCACAATCTGTTTGGGTGAGCAATTGTGTATAAAAACATGGGTGCAGTTAAGGAGTCAATTGCAATCTTGTCTCCAGTGTACCAAAAGAACCAAATATTTTAAAACTTAGAATAGGAATAGAATCAGAGGTATCTTTTTATTATTTAGAAATATTAATGGAGGTACTTGCAGAAATGAATAAATTATGGTAAAACTTAGAATAGAAGATGCAATTTAATTTTTACTTTTTGAAAACTTTTTAGATATGACAATAGAAAAGTAATAACCTTTCTCTAAATATTTTTCAGGTATTGCAAGAATATACAAGCGATGACATGAATGTTGCTCCTGGAGACAGGGTCTGGGTCAGAGGATGGTTCCCTATTTTATTTGAACTTTCCTGTATCATTAATCGATGCAAATTAGATGTTCGGACAAGGTAATGAGGATATTTTGCTTTTTAGTTGCATTCAGTTATTGAAACTGATTGGAAGCATCCCTTTTAGCATCTTATTTTTTCCCCTCATTTAGAGGCCTGACAGTGATGTTTGAAATAATGAAGAGCTATGGCCACACCTTTGAAAAACACTGGTGGCAAGATTTGTTTAGGATTGTGTTTCGGATATTTGACAATATGAAGCTCCCTGAACAACAGACAGAGGTAACAAAAGGCTTTTGAAGGATCCTGTTGTTGTGACACAATAAGAGATTTCCATAGGATTGTGAAATTCCATTTAATGAAATTCTGCTGTTCCTGGAAGGAGCCAGATTCTCAGTCCTAGTAGATTGACATCTGGTATCTTTTATTTTAAACAAACAAACAAACTTGGTTTAGCATGGACAGCAGCATTGTGTGTGTATTCCCACTCCACCTTGCCAATATGCCTCAACTGTCTTCTGGAAGAACATGCTCTAGAGGGGTAAGAGGATTTCAGTGTCCATGGCTTCGCTCTTGGTGTGTCTAGGACAGCCACCCTTAACGTACTTACAAGATCATTCAGTTTTATCCAAACTACATTCCTCTCTTTACAATGCATCTTTTTGTATACCCATTCCTATCCCATGTACCATTATAATATGGGAACCCCTTCTTTCCATTCAGTACTTACCCTAACAAAAATAAAGGCCTGTCATTGTCTTTCAGAAATCTGAATGGATGACAACCACATGTAACCATGCACTTTATGCAATCTGTGATGTATTCACGCAGTTTTATGAAGCTTTAAATGAGATCCTCCTTCCTGATATATTTGCACAGTTACACTGGTGTGTAAAACAAGGTAGCTTATTTACATATATGACACTATGTTTTTAAATGTACAATGTCTGGAATGCTTGCTTTAACTTTTTTCTCAATCAAAATAAGGAAAATAAACCACTATTTCTGTAAGTAAAACTTTTGCAAGGTTGTTGTTTTCATGCCATTTAATCCATTAGTGTTTTTTCTCCATCTGTACAATTTTTGCCAAATGAGTGTGCTGCAATAGTACTTACAAAAGATCTTTCATATGGAAAGAAAAAGAAGTTAATTATGTTAACACTTTGCCATTTATCCTTTCTGCATTTGGCAAAAACAGCACTTTTGGTTTGTTGAATGAATAAATTTAATCTTGTATTACTTTCACACTTCTGAAAATTATCCCTCTATATAGAGAGCACAAAAGACCTAAGGGGTTCACTACTATATATTTGTGTTGTCACTTCAAATGATGTAACATTTTTATGCAGATAGCACTGAATGTGTGGGGAAGAGTGGGAGGGAAAGGTGGCTTGTGAATACCTAACTCAAATTGTCTTCAAGTCCTCCCTTGTGCCTGGTTTATTTCATGGGAAACTGATTCAGAGCCCTGGACTGGGAATCAGGAGATGGAGTCTCTGTTGGTCACTGGCCTGCTGTGGGACTGTCAAGGCTTATTCCCCACTCTGGCATGATAAATGCAGAAGTGGGGGCCTGCAAAAGTACACCAAAACCTTATCTTTCCAGGCTTTGTTATAAAACTTTCCCCTGAAATCTTAAAAACCTAGATTTTGGGATAAAAATCCACCACCACCCAAGTAATGATAAGAAACCAGCGAAGAGATCACTTGGGAAATCTCAGCCCTAAAGTTAAAAACCAGGACACACAAAACTTAATCAATACCAGGTTAATAAAAGTTCTCTCTTTCTTTTTATTATCACCACAATACTCCTGTTACAAGCATCGTGACTAGATGGAAAAGTCACCAATTAATAAATGTATGGGGAATTCCACCATGGGCCAAAACTTAGTTACAAAGGAGAGAGAGACCCATTTTTAAATGCATAGACATCAGATTCCCATTCCCAAACCATAAAACAATAAAACCTAATGGATTTCTCTAAACTTTACCCTACTTACAAATAGTGTAGTCTTTTCTTGGAGACAGACATGATGTCTGTCCCCTTCAGTAGCTGGAGAGAAAAACCCAAAAATTCCTTTGTCCCAGTTAGGAATTCCTACCTACATTTATATTGGCTGCCTGTTACTTGGTTAGGTAAGGGACAAAGTTAACCCCTTAGTCCCCAGGCTGCTGGGTAACCCTCATGGTCATGACAGGGACCTTGCCAAGAAACATTGTTTCTCTATGCCACTTTCCCATCTCTCTATCTCTGGTCTGTCTGTTTAGCTTTCAGGTCCCTTGGAATAGGGATTCTAACTGTCTTAGTACATTTTGTTCCTGATCTTGGTGATACTATCACACACATAATGATTACGCTCTAAGCAGGCTTTGAGCTATTGAAGACTTGATACAAATACCAGTGCCGCCATAATATAAATTGTACATAATGACTAGCAAGCACAGTAGATGTTTAATTCACATTGTTTGAATAGAAGAGCTCATAATGATTACTAAATAAGGATATTTATTTTACAGATAATGAACAGCTGGCTCGATCAGGTACCAACTGTTTAGAAAACCTGGTGATACTAAATGGACAGAAATTCAGTCCTGAAGTTTGGGACCAAACATGCAATTGTATGCTAGAAATCTTCAAAACCACCATTCCTCATGCGTAAGTTAGTCTAACACAAATTTTGGTTGGAGACCAGTTGTTATGTTTTACCTTAGTATTTATTATATTTCTCTTTTCTGTAGTTTGCTGAAATTCATCTGAAAAACATTTGGTAAGACTTCAATTGCTCTGCTCAGAAATATGTAAATTTAGTATAAATCTCTTCTAAAGACGCATACAGAATTAAATGCAGACTGATGCTTCGGTCAATGGGTAATAAAGTCAAATACAAGATCTCAGTACTTTGATAGTAGAAAACTTAAGCCACATTAGTTATATCTTGTGAAAACTGAGTTGTGACACATGTACATTGGGTAAACAGAATTATATCTTCAATTGTCACTTCTAGGATGTGGACCTAGATCGCCAGTCTCTGAGCAGTATTGATAAAAATGCTTCAGAAAGGGGACAGAGTCAGTTTTCAAATCCCACAGATGACAGCTGGAAAGGTGGTGCTTATACAAGTAAGAATGTATTTCAGTGTTAGCTTTGCTTCCACACAATCTCTGATCACTAACAGACATTTAATTACAAAAAGAGTTGTGAACTTATTTAAAATAAAAAAAAGTTTCAGGTCCCTAGTGTTTTAATGAAAACTTACTAGCTAAAGCATATAATCTACTCTACCATGATTGTAATGGAAAAAATGTTTGACTAGGCAAAATGGGACTTTAACGATAAAACACATAATAACTGGGTGTGGGAATATGAAATTTAGTCTACTAGTTTAACACATACTTTATCATCATAAATTACTACAAAACTAGACTGAAAACTAGAGTTGCTCTATTCTATCAGACCAGAAGCTGTTTGCTGGCCTCCTTATTAAGTGTGTGGTGCAGCTGGAATTGATACAGACCATTGACAACATAGTATTCTACCCAGCAACCAGTAAGAAAGAGGATGCTGAGCACATGGCTGCAGCCCAGGTAACATATTGAAGATTCCAGACATCATTGTCTTTTGTCTTTGTATCTTACTGCCATAGTAATCATTAGCACTTTTTTTTTGTATTGCCTTACAGTTTGTGGAAGGCCTTGCAACCATTATGACTACTAAAAATTAAACAATTTGTTCAGTAGTTCCAGATTCAACTTCCCCTTTCTGGACAGACAGTGTAGACTTGCCTCTCCTCCTGTGTACCCTCTTAGGGTACGTCTAGACTACATGCCTCTGTCGCCAGAGGCATGTAGATTAGGGTACCGGACATAGTAAAATGTCAGCTGATCAGCTGTTTGTTGTGTCAGCGCGGCAGCCATGTAAATTTAAATGAAGCTGCGATTTTTTTAAATCGCCGCTTCATTTTACTATGTCCGGTACCCTAATCTACATGCCTCTGTCGCCAGAGGCATGTAGTCTAGACATACCCTTAGAAGTTGAGCTCAGCTAAGTTGTGGTTAAATGTCAAGGCTTACCCTCTGAAGCTGATAGGCTGTCTTCAATGACAAGTGCTTGACAATCAAACTCAACATTTCAAACCAAATGCCTTGATCTTGAGGTCACCCTGCCAGGCCACCCTGTTTGTTCCCATAGAGGCTTGGGCCAGGGTTTGTCTTAATCACTCTCACCAAGCTTGTTATCTTTTATATTTTATTGTGGGGAGATGGGGGAGAAGCTAATTTTGGGACTGTTTCCTGCCACTTGATAGTCTGTTATTGTGTTATGTTGAGAGGCTTGTGTGGTGGGTGCATGTCACAAATATAGAAAATAAATCTTATTTATTCAGTCCTGATTAAGGCAAAGAAGTTGAACACCTAAATTGTGCAGCATCTATTTAAATATATGGAACTACATATCTTGCTAGTTAGTTTGTTTTAGCAACTTCAGAGCTCTGCAGAGGCAGTATATCAGCCCCTATGGGAAGGCAAGTGCTTTGTGTCACTCAGCAGGATCTTTCTGTACTTTGAAATAGAGGTCTTCCCCTTTTTTGATCTAGACAATCTTCTTTCAATAGCTAATGTAAATTACATCTAGCATTTTAGGAAAAACAGCTAGTCGGAAGGAAAGCACTTAATCACAGGACAGCACTGAACGCACAGCCCTGACCACCTTCTCCAAATCCGCGGTCTTAAGGAAACAGATATGTAGATATTTTGTGCCAAAAGTTTATGTAAATGGAATATACTCTACGTAATTAATAAATGGCGTGGGTACGGTTTGCTTTTTTTGGGGGGGGGGGGGGGGTTTGTTTGTTTCTTGTGCACCTCTTCTCCATGAACCACCCCCAATAACTTGATTTTCTCTGCAGAGAGATGCTCTGGATGCAGATATCCACATTGACACGGAAGAGCAAGGAATGTATAAGTATATAACTTCACAACATCTTTTTAAATTATTGGATTGTTTACAAGAGTCTCATTCATTTTCAAAAGCCTTCAACTCAAATTATGAGCAGCGAACTGTCCTATGGAGAGCCGGTAAGCACATGTTACTTAGTAATGGTTTTGAGCTTCCTTTTTTTTTTTTTTTTTTTTAAATGCCTGCATTTTTTTTAAATATTAGGAATGTGCAGTATAGTAAAAGTGACTTTTATCAAATGTATTATATATTAAAAGTTTTTAATCACGGTGCTTCTTAACTGACCTATATTAGACTTGTCACTTTTTTCTGATTGCTTTTGATGAGTATTTCAATTTTGTAATTAAAGCCCTGTTTCATTTACAATAAAATAGAAACATGATGGGAGACTTATTTTATCTAATTCAGTTTTGTCAATATAAATGTGTACAGGGGGTTATTAATGGTAGAGGAGTTGGCTCAGGGAGCAATGAAATATGATCTTTTTGCATGGAAGTGCGCATCAGCATCAATCCTAGTTTTCTATGGTTTTTTTTTTTAATCTCCAGTACAAAAACATAATCTGCTTTTTTTACATGATTAAAATAGAACGCTGAACTTCAGTTTTCCTAACCACAATATATATAGATTGAGTGCAATTCCAGTTATCTGATCTAATTGAGACCAGAGCCAGATTGGGTAATCAAAAACTCCAATAATCAGGAGATTTTCAGCTGTCAGCTTTGGCTGGATTAATATGGAGATCTAGATCATGTAGACTCAGATAAACGGAGTTCTAATATAAGTTTTTATTTCTTCACAAAATGTAAAAACAAGAATCTTCGTAAAAATACAAAATCCACCTTTTGCATGGCAAATGGATTTCTAGGATCCCCATTGATCACTCATTAATCACTCATCACTGGGCCACCTAGTGGTGGTATCTTCGACCAACCTTGAACCTTGGTTGATAATTCTATACCAATTTAGGGAACACTATATACTTAGAGTGATTACCAAACATTGCCACAACCCCCAGGACTATTGGATTGCCCGAATTCACTAGTTTAACTCTTAGTGAACTAGAAAGCTCTTTACACTTCACATGTAATGTACCAGAATTTAACAGCAACACCACTGTAGGAAATTCAAGGGCATTTCAATTCTAGACTTTTACTCCAAGAAATCTGATTTTGTACTTCACTATCTTGTCAAAGACTGGAAAAGAGGTTCTCTTTTTTTTTTTTTTTTTTTTAAGTATTATTTAAAATTCGGCGTGCCTTTATTTTTTGTTCTCCTAAGTACATAAAAAGTAAATGGAGAAACTAGTTTCAAATAAGCTGTACCATTTACTACTCCAATATTTCCAATTTAAACAAAATATTAGATACTACTTCTTTAAAAAAAGAATCTATTACCAGTCCATATTACAAAAAAAAAAAAAAAAAAAAACTAAATCAAGCAGTGTTGTATGGCTCTTGCTTCTGACTTCAGGGTGTGTGAGAGATATGCCCATCCTGTCTCTTGAATAAAACGTCATATAAAACATACAAGAGTGTTTTGTGCTGAGCTGAGGTGTTTTTGTGGGACCGTATCTAGATTGAATAAAAAAAACATGGGGATTTTAAAGGCAAATCCAAACATATGGGGTGCGTCTAGACTGGCAAGATTTTGTGCAAAAGCAGCTGCTTTTGCGCAAAATCTTGCCAGCTGTCTAAACTGGCTGTGAGAATTTGTGCAAGAACACTGATGATCTAATGTAAGATTGCCTGTGTTCCTGTGCAAGAACTCTGATGCTCCCGCTCAGGGGATAAAGCCCGCTTGCGCAAGTGTTCTTGCATAAGAGGGCTAGTGTAGACAGGGACAGGAATTTTTTGTGTAAGAAAGCCCCGATGGCTAAAATGGCCGCCGGAACTTTCTTGCACAAAACCGCGTCTATACTGGGCACAGATGCTTTTGTGCAAAGGCACTTGCCAATCTAGACGCTCTTTTGTGGAAATACTTTTAATGGAAAAACTTTTCCATTAAAAGTATTTCCGCAAAATCATGCCAGTCTAGACGCAGCCATGTAGTTTTGCACATCTAAAACTCTGTGATGAATGATTTGTACGCTACCTATGGCACCAGGACAAACCCTGCAAGTGCTTCCCTCAGATGCCATGTGAACAGCCTGCAGGATTAATTGTTTTTAAACATTTTTGTGTAATTAAGTTATACCTTAAAATTATGTATTCATCACTACAATAAGTTGGTCTGCCTACCTAGTATCCTTGAAATTTAATTATGCTTCTTGTTTCTAAGGTATGTGAAAATAAGTATGAATATATACATTTGTAACTGATTTCTAGGATTCAAGGGTAAATCAAAACCCAATCTTTTAAAACAAGAGACCAGCAGTTTGGCTTGTTGCTTGAGAATCCTCTTCCGAATGTATATTGATGAAAGCCGCAGAGATTCCTGGGATGCTATACAGCAGCGACTTCTAAAGTAAGAATGGCATTTTACCTAATGAATTTTGGACTCCTCTTTTTGGGGACTGTCAGTGGGGCCCTGACATTGATGGGGCTTCTGAGTCCTAGTGCAACACTAATAATGTTGCTATTCAAAGTAGCTGAGCAGATGGATCATAAATTGATTAGGGATAGAAAAGGGGGTCCTCTAATAAACAGATTTTGGCACCCAGAAGTAAGTCCATTGGGAGTGGTTACCATGTGGCCAGATACCCCTTCCCACTGGGGATGGGTACAGTCCAAGCACCATATAGCTCAATTCCTGATTAATCTTTTCAGGTATTTGTTGCATCACAATTTGGAACTTTGGCTAGC